CTGGGGATCCCGCGATCACCTGACTTCGGCTGGGGCCCCCGAGACGATCTTGCATCCCATACCGCTCTGTCAGAATTGCGGTCGAGATCTGCCCCTCGGGATTGTCACAGGTGACGGCGCACTTTGCGATATCTGTTGGCAATACACTGTGGCCGTAGGCGCCACAGGCAAGAGCACCGCCACACAGAGCGACTTCGCGTACCTGCAGAAATTGACGAACTGGATCAAGACGACGTTGTCTGAGGATCAAATCGCGAGATACATGAAGGATGGTGCGCACGTCATTATGACGGGTGCGCGATCGCACATAGGCAGCGAGAAAGATCAGTTGCGGAGATTGGCCAATGCGTCCAAAAAGAGGTATCAGAAGTGGGTCGAAGCCGGTAGCCCGCCTGCACACGAGTGCAGATTAATGGGCGGATCCGAGGACGACCGGCCTCTGTATTACCCATTCGCCAATCTCATACAACGCTTTCTCAACGACCTCAAGTTTCATCATCAGATGACAGGTGCCCGCGTGAATGTCGGCAAGAAGCCCTGGACCGTCGAGGACATGCGCGACGCGTGGGACATCCTTGACGTCAGCATTAGGACAGGACAGGCTGGTCGGAGAAAGTGGTGGCTGAACGAGGGGCGCATTGACAGGCAGACGCGGCAGGCGCGCGGACTGGTTACGGTTTCTCTCCCTCGAAGGGACGGAACCCGTGAACAGTTCACCCAGCGCAAGCTTGCCGCGATCGCCAACGAACTGATGGGCTCCCTCGATCCGTCACACACCGACCAGAGGGGGGTTAGTACAGGGATGAGAACCGATCCCGATACACAATCCCAACAGTCCGATGACGCCATGGAGCCGCGGCCGCCGCCGCGCCCGCCGCCGCGCCCTGCTCCTGGCGACGCTGCTGCGTCCAGCGCCTCAGGCGCGGAGGACTACACGCCCGCGATGCCGCGCGCCAAGAGAGCACGTACATCTGATTACGCTGCTTATTGGCGCCACGACCTCGAGGACAGCTACTGGGGTCTTCGATACTGGAGTTACTACATCAAATGTTGGATCTACATCGCGATCAACAACGACGAGTATGTGTACATCCAGGATATCACGTACAACGACTGGTTCCGCAACTGGATCCCGAGGACAACTTGGGAAACGTTTACGACAAGCTACGCGACGTACAACGGCCAGAGGGTGTGGGACCGCAGGTTCTACAAGGACGGCGACGCGTAGTGAGTCGGCCGCAAGGCCCACTGCTCAAGAGCGAAACTTCCTTTCATCAAAGTTCGCCTTGAGCGGTGGCTAATATATTCTTTTAGGCCACTTCAATCATTCACACAAGTGGCCATACACAAACATATATATCTTTTGCGATCACCGAGGCAGCCTCCTAAGGAGCAACGCCAACGGGAGTCGCCAAACAGACTTTTTATACATCCCTTTCCGTGTTCATGAACACGACATTTTGTCTGGCCAGACACTTGCTTTACGCAGATTTGCGTTTCTTTTCAGGATCGCGTTCGTCAACACGATCTTAGCATACATTTGTTTCTTAGGCAGACTTGTGTTTCACTTCAAGATTGTGTTCGTCAACGCGATGTTAGCATGCATATTTTAACAATTTGAACAATATTGCGTCGAGAATAATCTGCAAGTTGGTGGCAACACCTGCCTCGCAAATCTTGCGAGGCAGATTGCATGTTGCCTTAATGCTCAGATCTTCTTTCTCCGCCTACCCTTGTCTCATTCTTCTCCTCCCTCGAGTGCCGAAGCGTTTTTGGGGGGCGCACCGAGGGGGCGCCAAAATGCGCCTGGAGAAGAAAGGGGGACTTAGGGCATCTCTTCTTACCTCACTTTGCAGCTGTGGCTTCGCTGATTTTAAGCCCCAGCTGCCTTTCTGACTTAAGGACTAAAGGAGTTCAGAGGTTACGGATTCCTTTCCTCTGTTCCCGAGTCCTGCCTTAACGGGCGGGATTCGGGACGGGGGGTGTGAATGGAACCCGTGTAATACCCTCATATATACTCCTTATCCTTACCTCTCCCGCACCTGGCCGTTTGGGCTCAGGTACTGAGTTGGAGCGATCGTACTTTGATCGCTTGGGAGGGAAGATATCCATCTATCCCTCCATCTCTCTACCAACGGATCAGGGTTTCTGTACCCTTGTACTTCAACCCCATACACACACCCTCCCTGGTGTCGAGAAAATGTCACGCCTGCTCGGCCTTGGAACATGCGTCGTTTATGTATCGTGCTGCATGTGTATGTGTTGGATGCGCGTGGGGCCGTCTTGGGACGCGTGACCATATGGATGCTCAGTGTGTTGTGCATACCTCTTGGGTGTACGACGCAGTGAACACGCCAGGCGTGCACTAGCGTTGTTGTGCATACCTCTTGGGTGTAGGATGCAGTGAACGCGCCAGGCGTGCACTAGCGTTGTTGGTGTGTGTGTGCGTGTGTGTGTATGTGTGTGAGTGTGTGTGAGTGTGTATGTATGTGTGTGCGTGCGCGTGCGCACGCACGCCAGACGTGCGTGTTGCGCGTGGGTGCAGGAGGACGGAGCGTGAGGGACCACCTATCTGCGCACCCCCTGTGGCATGGAAAGGACCAAGGAGCGCGTGGGTGCAGGACCAAGGAGCGTGGAAAAGTGTCGCGCCTACCACGCCCCGCGGCCCTGAGACGGATAGAGACCGCTGTGGGGGACCACCCGCTGCGCACCCCGTATGTCGTGGAGAAAGTGTCACTGCCACGCCAGCCACGCCCCGCGACCCTGAGACGGATAGAGACCACGGTGAAGGACCACCGGATGTGCACCCATTGTGGCGGGGAGAAAGTGCCGCCCCTGGCACGCCCCGCGAACCTGAGACGGATAGAGACCGTGGTGAAGGACCCCACCCCCCTGGTCACCCTTGTGGCGTGGAGAAAGTGCCGCGCCTGCCACGCCCCACGACCCTGAGACGGATAGAGACCGCGGTGACCCCCTTATGGTGTCGAGAAGATGCCGCGCCTGCCACGCCTCGCGACCCTGAGACGGATAGGGACCCAGGTGAGGGACCACCCCTTGCGCACCCTCTATGGTGTCGAGAAAGTGCCGCCCCTGGTATGCCCCGCGACCCTGAGACGGATAGGGACCACGGTGAGGGACCCCATCCCCTTGTTCACCCCTTTGGCGTGGAGAAAGTGCCGCGCCTGCCACGGCCCGCGACCCTGAGACGGATAGGGACCACGGTGAGGGACCCCATCCCTTTGTTCACCCCTTTGGTGTGGAGAAAGTGCCGCGCCTGCCACGCCCCGCGACCCTGAGACGGATAGGGACCACGGTGAGGGACCCCCCCCCTGCGCACCCCGTTTGGTGTCGAGAAGGTGCCGCGCTTGGCACGCCTGGCGACCCTGAGACGGATAGGGACCACGGTGAGGGACCACCCCTTGCGCACCCTCTACGGTGTCGAGAAAATGCCACGCTTGCCACGCCTTGCGACCTTGAGACGGATAGAGACCACGGTGAGGGACCACCGCCTGCGCACCCCCTATGGTGTCGAGAAAGTGCCACGCCAGCCACGCCTTGCGACCCTGAGACGGATAGAGAACACGGTAAAGGACCTTCCTCTGCGCACCCCCCGTGGTGTTGAGAAGGTGCCACGCCTGCCACGCCTTGCGAATATTTGCGCACGTGTTGTGTGGTATGTGCGTCATGTGTATGATGCGTGTGCGGCTGTTTCTGAACGTGTGTCTCATGTGGGTGCTCAGTGCGTTGACGCGTGTCTCATGGATGTGCCATGCATATGTTGCGCGCGGGTGAAGAGAGGAAGGAAAAAGAGGAGGACTAGCGTTGTTGGAGTGTGTGTGTGTGTGTGCGTGTGTGCGTGCGCGTGCGCACGCCAGACGTGTGTGTCGCCCGTGGGTGCAGGATCAAGGAGGAGGAGGTGAAGGGAAGGGAGGCGGAGGTGTGAGTGAGACGCGGGTGCGACGCGGATGGTCAGAAAACCGGAACCCCACTAAACATGTGGGGGGAAAAATTGTTTCGAATCCACCCGACCCGCAATGCGGTATTTTGTCGCCCACCCCACACCTCTTGACATGCCATCTGCAGACGTGGTTCAAGGCGCCGGACACTGCTTCGCTTCGTCCGAATGCTGAGCAACGCAGTTCGCCGTGGACCCGTCCGCCACCTGGGCCGGCTGTCGACCTGCGCTGGGACAGGCAGCGAGGCGGCGGAACCGACCCGTGCGTCGCAACCATCGACTACAAGACCTTCCAACCTCCTACCCGAGATCACTTTCGGCAGATACGCCGAGATCAGGACCGCGGAGGACTGCAAAGACTTGACCGCAAAGAACTCATATCGAGCACAGCGCCTCCAACTGAACTGCATGGAAGACGCGACATCGCCCCGAGCTCGGCCGCCGAATTCCAGCCGGAGGACCAGTCGAGGGCATTGCATGGACAAAACATCCGACCCGGCATAGAAATCTTCGACTACGGACCGCTCGACGAGACGACAAACGATTCGACCCACACTTTGCAACAGCGGCCGCGCGAACGCCAGACCGAGCACAAGAGGAACTACAGTCGAATACATTCTCCAAGGAGCACACCTACGCGGCTCTGGAGGCCGCGCAGGTTATCATCCAGACCAACGCGCCCAGAGGATGGATGAAGTCGTCGTTGTGCCCGCACCGCTACACACTTGCCTGCTTGGCCTGCTTGGCCGCTACCCACCAAGCCCGGCAGTGGGTTGCCGCCGAGAAGGCCAACGACGCAAGGCTTCCTCGACGGGCACTTCGCAACCACCAGCATCGGCGCCACGGGACGTCACAGCGCAGTAAGACCGACCCGAGCACCCCACTATAGGACGCCGCTTTGGGTCATACCCAATGGCGACGGCTCCACGAAGGACGCCGGCCGCCGAGCACTCATCGGCGCACTGCCTTGGAAACGGGTCGAGGAGATGGCGGAGAAGAACCGATGTGCCTAGTGCCTCCACAAACGGGCCCACGTGGAACGGAGATGTCCAACGTCGACCAGATCCACGAGGTCATGACTTGACTACGCAGGAGCACACATAAGCAGGCCTACAAGACGCAGAACGCAAGGCCCCCCACTCGAATACCCACAACGTACAGGACCCGAGCGAGGCCATGCCCCTCCCCCTCTACCTGACCAGCACTTCGGCAAAGAGGGGCGCCAAGGCCCCGCAAACTCGAGCAGGGCTCCACGCCGAAGAGGGAGACCCCGACGGGGACGTGGTGCCATTGGTAGAAGTCACCGACGACGAGCATTGACTCCTCAGCGACTTAGAGACCGAGCATAGAGCCACCAGGAACCATTTCAACGGGGTGGACCAGAAGCGCGGGCTCCAGCTCGGGCCGCCGTCCAACGGCAACCCACAATGGCCGACGATCTCATGGTCCCACTTCCATCTGCCAGCCAGCGTCATCTACGGGGCGCGCACTGATGACCGCCGCGTCAACGCCGACATGCCCCCCATCATTCGAGGCTGTCACGATAGCGCGACCACCTCGTCCTGACCCGCCACCATGGAGTCCGCCAGACTCCATCTTGGCACGAGGCATCGCGCAGACCTTGGTCGCCAACGCAATCGACCATCGACCGCGCGTCGCACATTTCGCCTGACAGACGAGCAGGAGCCGAGAAGCAGCTGACCAGCATGGAGACCTCCCACGACGGTGGCATCGAAGACGAGTACCAAGCGGAGCTCGAGCTAAAGGGTTTCGCCACACGAAGACCGACTAGCGACAGAATCCTGGCCGCGCACAACGCGCAGGCCGGCAATATTTTGAACGACCGAGACCACGGCAAGCAAAGACTACCCACGCTAAACCGACTCACTGGGGCATCGCAGTCAACTTTACCCAGACGACACCCAACCAAGGCGACGCACCACCACCAATTTGCCCAGCACCACCACCAACTTGCCCTGACTACGCGACAGGGGACGCGCGCGCTATAGCGAGCCCTTCAGCGAGCGGACTGCCCGAGCGGGCTGCCAATGTCGCCGAACCACCAGTTGCGTTTGCCACGTGTATGGATTGCCTGCGCGCACCAAACCACACGGGACGCATGGGCGGCCCAGGTGTATTACTTTAATTGGGACGCCAGAGAATCTACATGGGACGACCCAGGCAACGCGCTAGTATGTCCAGGATCGAAGAGAGCGTTATTAGCCGACAACGTCGAATAAGTCTGCGACCGCGACGGGAACATCATGAACGACCCAGCCATTGCCACATACGATCCTGCGCAACCGCCACCAGCGCCAGCTCCGCAGAGACCACGATCGTTATCGCCACAAGCTCGCTCCTACTACGTCGACGTATCCGCCCTCGAGACGCCTGTCGGGAGGTGCCAGGGCGGCAGCGAGTTCTGGGGCGAGATGAACAACCTCAAGGAGAACATCAGCATCCTCACCAACGACGAGGTTGCAGAACTGGCCTGCTCCGATAGCCCTGATGGACGCCCGGTGAGCTCATTGCTGAACGACCAAGCGGACAACCTAGTCAGCCACAGCACGTGACAACACGTCGACTAAGCGACCACCTCTTCAAGAGAACGACCGACCCACCGACAGCTACTTGCGCCCAGCCACCAGGGGACATCAAGCAGCAGCGATGGGCCAGGCACGTACCCCCGACAGGACGTAAAGGCCGCGACGCCAGTTGCCGCAATGCCAGTACCGAGTGCCAGCGGGTAGACACTTGCTCCCACGCGGTGGACACGATGCAAGACCCAACTGGCTACGTGCCCACTCTGCCCCTCCCACCGTCCGGGAAATCCGGCGAGGAATTCCAAGCCGGCGCCCTCGCGTGGGACATCCTCAGAAAACCGGCCCCTGGAGGCTCCCCAAGGAAGGCTTCAGAGCTCCGTTTCCGGCGAGATCCAGGAAATCCGCCGACGAATTCCAAACCGGCGCCCTCGTTCTGGATTCCGGCGAGATCCAGGAAGTCCAGCGACGAATGCCACATTGGCGCCATCGCGTCGGACATCTTCAGAAAACCTTCCGCGGAGCATCCCCAAGGAGGAAGCCTTCAGAATTCCCTTGTTCCGTTTCCGGCGAGGACGAATTCCAAACCGGCGCCATCGCGTGGGACATCCTCAAAAAATTTGCCCCCGAGCATGAGCTTTCAGAGGCCCTCCGTGTTCTGTTTGTGGCGAGATCCGGGAAATCCGGCGAAAAATTCCAAACCGGCGCCCTCGCGTGGGACATCCTCAGAAAACCAGCCCCTGGAGGCTCTCGAGGCCTGTAGGCCCCCAAATTCCATTTCCAGCGAGATCCAGGAAATTCGGAGACGAATGCCGAACTGGCGCCCCCACGTGGGGCATCCTCAGAAAACCGGCCCCCGGAGCTTGCACAAGGGACATTTGCCGACGAATTCCAACCGGCGCCCTCGCGTGGAACACCCAGAGGCTTCCCAAGGATGCCCTCAGAGGCCCTCCAAAATAGTTCCGTTTCTGCCGAGATCTGGTAAATCTGGTGAGGAATTCCAAACCGACTCCCTCGCGTGGGACATCCTCAGAAAACCGGTTCCTTTTGCGGCGCGATCCGGGGAATCCGGCGACGAATTCCAAACCGGCGCCCTCGCGTGGGACATCCTCAGAAAATCGGCCCCCGGAGGCTCCCCAAGGAGTCCTTCAGAGGCCAGCCGACGCCCTCGCGTTGGACGTCCTCCCTCAGAAAGCCAGCCCCCGGAGGCAGAGGCCCCCCTGTTCCGTTTCCGGCGAGCCCAGAGAAGCCGTCGGCGATTACCAAGCCGGCGCCCTAGTGCCCAACAGCCGGCCCCCGGAGCATCCCCAAGGAGGCCTTCAGAAGTCCTCCTGCTCCGCACGGTCGCCTGATCCTCGCCCGTGTGACCTTCGCTCTCCTGATCCTCCCCCTCCTCATCCTCAGCCGCCGCACCACCGCCTCCCGGTCATTTTTCTTCCGCCCACAAGCGCACGCCCCTTCTTCTATATACGGTAGGTTAGTGTCGTGTCGACCAGCGGCGACCCCAGCGCGGGCGTTCAAGGTTGAACGCCGCCGGCGACCCAGAATCGATCGATGTTGAACGATCGGACGTTGCGGCAGCGGCCGATCGTTCAAGATTGAACGATCCCTGCGGTGTCAAAAACCAACGCTGGGGTCGGCACGACACGAACCTGCCGTACAGAAACTCCCGTTCCATCGCAGAGCGGCCGGCTAGTATACCTGTGGAGGCCAGACGGACGCTCGAGGGAATTCCCCGAGGAGAAGTTGCGTATCGTTCTGGCCGTTAGCCCAGGCAGTTTGGGATTCCGCAAGGCCTGATCATTTGCCTGCTGGCAATCATCATCGGTGTCCACGCGATACCCTGGATCTCGGGGGACAAATGGGTACCGACACCGCTACTCGCAGGATCTCTCCTTGGGTGCGTTCTGACCCGGATTTCCAGGAGAATCCAGCCATGGCGACGAGAGCTCTCCAGGACGAGCGGGGGCATCACCAGTTCTTTCCTACTCTGAGGATCACCGCGGGGCCTGGGTTCATCCACGGCGCGTACTCGAGCCGCGGGGAGCCCATGGAGCAGTCGCGGGACGTCTGGAAGCGTTCCGCGCCGACGTGATGCCGCCGCACTGAGCCGTCGGCGCCTCGAGAGCGGAGGCTGCGCTGCCTGAACGCGGGGCTCGCGAGGCGAGGGCCACTTGGGACCTCTTCGCGCGCCTTGCCTCTCGCGCACTCTTCTTGAAGACTTCGCACGCAGGGGATCCAGGCCACCCCAAGTTCAGAGGAGGGCGAGCTGGGACAACGGCAGTTGGCCTTCGGGGAGGGCCCTCGTCGCCAGGGCTGGGTGCAGCTCTGAAAGTTGGTACGTCTGGGCCCCGGGAGGGGTCCGGGGATTGGCTTTGAGCTGCAGTTGTCTTAACTCGCCCTGCTCCGAAATGTCGCCGGAGCGTGGATGGGATCGGCTCGGAGGTTCGCGCTACATCGCCGGTCCCTGCACAGCAGCGAGCCTGCGACGCCGCCGGCATTGCTGGAAGTCCATCGCCGATGCGTCGCGATCGGAAGCCTTTCCCTCTCCACGCCGACATCGCCGATGCAATGGCGATGCGGCGCGATCATCCGAAACTTCGTCTGCTCTGACCTCATAAGGGTGGCCTCCAGGGGAGGGACAGGAGGGGAGGGGAGCGAGGTGGAATGGGAGGGGCAGGACAGGGGTAGAGCTGCGGAGCAGGAAGTCCCTGCCCCGTCTGCCAGAGAGGAAGAGGAATGAAAAGGGATCAGGAAGAGGAGGAGGAGCAGGAGGAGGAGGAGAGGAAAAGGAGGAGGACGATGATGAGGAGGAGGACGATGAAGCGGGAGGAAGAGCAATCCAGAGGGATGAAGAAGAGGAGGAGGAGGAGGAGGAGGAGGAGGAGGAGGAATAGGAGGAGGAGGAGGAGGAGGAGGAGTGGAGTGGACTTCATCACAATTTGATCCAGCAAGAAACTACCTCCTCGCCCCCTTAGCTGCCTGTTGGTGGCGAACCAGAGCCTCTGGTCAAAGCCCCTGACCAATACTTCGAAGATATTCCTTCGGAGCTGCAGTGGTCTGTCGTTAACAAGTCCCCTTCATCTCACAATTCAACATCTCACTACTGAAATAACCGCAACTGCTGTGGAATCAAAAACAGAGAGATAGTCATGTTAAGCCAGTAAGTGAGAGTGGCGCATCCGTCCCTCATAAATGTGTAAGCGATGGCTGAACTCCTGCAGACCGAACAATACTTGCCATTCTCGCCCCACGTGTGGGCCGAACGAAGAGCAGAGATGGAGAATGGGGTAGAGGGGGAGGGGGGGGGGAGGGGGAGGGGGCGGAGGGAGGAGGGAGGAGGAGGAGGAGGAGGAGGAGGAGGAGGAGGAGGAGGAGGAGGAGGAGGAGGAGGAGGAGGAGGAGGAGGAGGAGGAGGGAGGAGGAGGAGGAGGAGGGGGAGGGGGAGGAGGAGGAGGAGGAGGAGGAGGAGGAGGAGGAGGAGGAGGAGGAGGAGAGGAGGAGGAGGAGGAGGAGGAGGAGGAGGAGGAGGAGGGGGAGGGGGAGGGGGGTGAAGAGGCGGCCCCCGCCTGTGTAGAACTCTTGGATGGGTTGATCGCAGCCTGGCTGAAGGCCATCCTACTGGCGCGGAGGGAGGCGGCGTCGGACGAGCAACGCATCTTTTTCCACCTGCCAAATTCAGGCGATCGCAAACACGGATCTAGGGGGCGTCGATTAGCGACGGGTCCCGTTTGCATGGGAAATCGCGGATTTCCACCGCCGAACGATGCGGCATTGGCCGCATTCTGGGGAGGGCACCTCCCCCGATCCATGGATTTGGCGACCGCGCGCCAAATCCATGGACCGCTAATCCATGTTTGCGCGCCCCCGATGTTTCCACCTGCCAGATGAGGGACCGATCGGGGAGAGTCAGGAGGGAAAGAACCACACAAACACAATTAGTCAACGATTCCCCTGAACATATGGGAAATATGGGAAGTGGGGGGGGGAAGACAAACAACCCCGAACATATGGGACAATAGTGGGAATCCTGTCATGTGTGTGTGTGTATTTGTTTGTGTGTCCCATGGGCCCCTTGAGAGAGGCATCCTGGCCCGAAGGGCCGCTGCGCCTGCTAACTCATCTGCTCAGGCACCTCCGAGAGCGAGAGATGCGTTTGCCTTCTTGCGCATGACGTCCTCGGCCTCCAGGTGCGTCTCTCTTCTGAGAACAACGATCTGTCACGTACCACGGCGGGTATCCTGAGAAGCTGAACGCGAATGAGGTCCTAGGTTTTTTTGTTGTCACCTGGGGGCCGATGGTACGATCAGGAAGACCAGCCGTCGGCGGCGGCGGCGGCGTTGTCGGTACAGTCGGGCCGAGGTGTAAGAGCGAGGTCGGTTCGGGGAGGGTGCCTTCGTGTTCTTCGTGTTTGTTGGATATCCTGGGGAGGGTACCCTTTGATGTTTTGTATGATTTGGCTGACGAAGGGCCCCATGTCCTTGAATGCTGTTATTCTGGCCTAGGTCCGATGTAGCATACACAAGCGGGCCCGCGGTATGAGAAATATCAAAGTGAGTTCATGGAGTTCGCCACGAGGAAACGTGTGACGACGTCCAGGGACAGGCCACAAACAATTAAGTGCGCCAGCAGTCGGGGATTGTACGAGCCCATCGTCTTAACTGAGACTGCAATCCTCCGGAACCTGAGTTCACGAGCATCTGGTCCCCAACTGGCATCTTCAACAACCACCACGGGTGCTCGGGTCGACCGTGCCCTAGTGCGCTACTATCGGGAACGTGGGAACCATCGCGCGCCAGAAACTTCCAGCTTCATCACTCGGATTGGGGAAAGCTGCCCATTGCCGAGGAATGCGGCCGCGACGCCAGAAGCTTTTTTCCGCGTGCCTCATGAGAGCATTCGGCACGAGGGCATATGAGTCTTGAAAAGTTGTCGTTCCACGATTGCATGGACAAAGCCAGGATCGGTGCAATGGGGCCCCTGGGCACCGTAGCCGCAACGCTTGCACTTGCGATCGAGCGTAGTCCTGGCCTCGCCCAAAGCTCTTTGCCGCGGCCCACCCACCCCTGCCGCGATATTGGCAATGACCTCCACACATTGATGACCGCGAGGGCCAGGGCAAATGTCGGCGCGGAATGTCCTACAGTTGTGGTGCCACTTCCTGCGCTCATGCCTGCGCCGCAGGTTGTGGGTGGAGGCCGCAGACCAAGCCAGCTCCTGGAACACATCTTGGAAATCATCTAAAAGAGGGGTGGTTATGCTCGCTCCTCACTGGGACGATCCGCTTAGTTTGCGCCCCCACACAAGGTAGTTTATCGACTTTGAGCGCGTCCCGCCTTAGGTGAATTTGGCCCGCTGATTGCAGCCCATCGGCGCGCTGGAGATTAACGTGTCCGTGTGTGTGTGTGTGTGTGTGTGTTCGTGTGTGCGTGTGTGTGTTGTGTGTGTGTGTTGTGTGATGTGTGTTGTGTGTTGTGTTAGTGTGTGTGTGTATATGTGTGCGTGTGTGTGTTGTGTGGTGTGTGCGTGTGTGTGCGTGTGTGTGTGTGTGTGTGTATGTGTGTGTGTGTGCGGGGTGTGCGTGTGTGTGTGTGTGTGTGCGTGTGTGCGTGTGTGCGTGTGTGCGTGTGTGTGTGTGTTGTGTGTTGTGTGTTGTGTGTTGTGTGTTGTGTGTTGCGTGTTGTGTAGTGTGTGATGTGTTAGTGCGTGTGTTGTGTGTTGTGTGTTGTGTGTGCGTGTGTGTGTGTGTGCGTGTGTGTGTGGTGTGCGTGTGTGTGTGTGTGCGTGCGTGCGTACGTGCGTGCGTGCGTGCGTGTGTGCGCGTGTGTGCGTGTGTGCGTGTGTGCGTGTGTGCGTGCGTGTGTGCGTGTGTGCGTGTGTGCGTGTGTGCGTGTGTGGGTGGGTGCGTGTATGTGTGTGTGTGTGTGCGTGTATATGTGTGCGTGTGTGTGCGTGTGTGTGTGTGTGTGTGCGTGTGTGTGTGCGTGCGTGTGTGGTGTGCGTGTGTGTGTGTGTGTGTGTGCGTGCGTACGTACGTGCGTGCGTGTGTGCGCGTGTGTGCGTGTGTGCGTGTGTGCGTGTGTGCGTGTGTTCGTGTGTGCGGTGTGCGTGTGTGGGTGGGTGCGTGTGTGCGTGTGTGTGCGTGTGTGCGTGTGTGCGTGGTGGGTGGGTGCGTGTATGTGTGTGTGTGTGTGCGTGTGTGTGTGTGTGTGTGTGTGCGTGTATATGTGTGCGTGTATATGTGTGTGTGTGCGTGTGTGTGTGTGCGTGTGTGTGTGTGTGTGTGCGTGTATATGTGTGTGCGTGTGTGTGTGTGTGTGTGTGTGTGTGTGTGTGGGGCTTTCGGTCGTGGGAGTGACGTGTGAGCCGTGTGAGGGTGTGGCGCGTTTGGCCTCCTCTCTTCCTCCGTCTCTTCCTCCGCTCACAGGGCTTACTTGAACCTCCGAAGATTCCGCAAGGCCCACCGACGCGCGCGGTGGCGGTGTTGCCCCAACGTGTAGGGCCGCCGGCTCCTCAGCCGTCAGCCTCGTCTTTGCCCTCTTCGCCCATGAGGTTTTTTTGGGAGGGGCTCGAGCAGCCGTCAGCCCGCCGCGTCTGCTGCGGGGCGTCTTGGCCTTGGCGGCAGGGCGTATCCGAGGAGGGTGAATTGAAACGATGTCGGGCGACTGAAATAGGCACGGAAACAACGCGCACGATGACCATCAGCAGATCTTGCCCGTTTTGAACAGGATTCGTTGTCGGCGTCGGCGCGGGCGCTGTCCATTTGAAACGAAGGTAACCTTCCCAACAGCGGCCGCTGTCGGTGTGACGCCCTTTTTGTCCGTACCCATGGCGGTCGCACCAAGAAATCGGTAGTCGGTCTTCGGGGGGGGGCCCTCGCCGCCACGGCCGGAAGCAGCTCGGAAGACTGGTGCGTTTGCCTCTGAGCTGCCCTTGCCTCCGTTCGCCCTGCCCCGAGCGTATGGCACGATCCTGGGACTACCATGCCAAGAGGCGCGACTGGGGGGACGAGGGCTGGCAGGGCGAGTCCGAGTGGAAGCGCCACAGGCCCGCCCAGGGCCGCTACGACAGGGAGGGCGGCGACAGGGGCTGGCACGAGGAGGCAGCAAGGGGGGGCGCCAGCTCCACGCCAGCTCCAGGCCCAGCCAGGCCCGTCCATCGGCACAGAGAAATGGTAGAGCTTCCCGTGTCGCACAGACGGCCGCCCCAGGTAGACCCGGCTGGCCTCAAGAGGCCCCCCGAGCAGTCTGAGGCGGTCTCAACACCCTGGAGCCGCCTCTGGCGGCGCCCCTTGGGCGCTACGCGCCCCAGGGTTGGGGGTGTTTTGATACCGCCCCCGGCTACTCGGGGGGCATGTTGAGGCCAGCTGGGACGACCTGGGGGCTTTTTGTGCGCAACCCGAAGCCTCACCATGAAGGAAACGGGTCTTGTAGTCAGCGCGCATGGCACGGAGGACTGACGTTCCATCGGGTGCGCGTTCATCCTTGCCTCTCTGGCCCATCCTCAGACACAGTTTCGCTCGCAGAGGCTTGACTTGGGCGTTCAAGGGGCTTGCTTCCTTCCCGCGCGTCCTCATGATGCACGCTGACTGCGAGGGAAACAGGCCCCAGAACCGTTTTAGAACCTGGGGCTTTCCCCAGGGCCAGGTCTCGAGGGCCCCGGGGCCCGTGGAGTGCTCCAGAGGGCCAGAAACCGACGAAAGCAGGAACCCTGTCCAGTTCACGCCCAAGTCCGCCTGCCAGCGGCTGGGAGTGGCTCCACCGTGCGCCGACTCCAGGCATCGGCCAGGCAGGACGAATGGATACGGAGATCGCTCCGCACGTTCTTGGACGCTGTCGGAGCGTTCCGGCGCGCTCTGAGACGGCCGCGGTGCCCGATACGTCTCGGACGTTGCGCAGATAGCTTCCAGAGCACCCCTCGCAATGCCCAGAGGGCCTCAGGGGGGCTTCAGAAGGGAGCGAAACGCTGGGAGCACACTGGGCCAGGACCGCTTCTCGCAACACCCGAACCGTCCTCCAGGCCCGCTGGCTATCAGAGACTCCCGCTTCATCAAGGGCTCCCACGAGGGCGCGAAGTTATTCGCGCTTCGCGCTTCGCGGTCCTCGTTCCTCCTCCTCGTCCTCCTTTTCTCCCTTCGGGGGGGCGGCGCGAGGGCGCGAAGTTATTCGCGCTTCGCGCTTCGCGCAGCGCGAAGCGCGAAGTTGGGAGCCCTTGCTTCATGCCCATCGGAGCCCGTCTTGACAGGACGGGCCTGGCCGGGTCCGAGGACTGGAGCGCGCGGCGGGCGCCCTTCCCGAGGAGGAGCAGCCGGCGCGCCCCTCGGGCCGCGTGCCCTGGCGCTCGTCTGGCCGCGTGCCTTGGCGCGCGCCTGCAGAGCCTTCCGACGCGGGCGAGGGCGACGGCGAGGGCTTCGAGGGCGAGGGCGAGGGCGAGGGCGAGGGCGAGCCAGCCGAACAGGCGGGCGGCGAGGTCGACGAAGCCTAATTAGTCGGATGTTGCCAGGAGTGTCCTGGGGCCCAGGGCGCCCCCCGGATCTCCAGGGAGGCCCAGATGGCCTCCAGAGAGCACCCCTCACGAGGCCCACTAGGGCCCCAGAGGCTCAAACTTGCTCGACAAGCTCGGGAAACCTTGGGCCAGGACCACCTCTGGCAGCCCCCGATGTGGATTGACGCAGTCTTAAGTCAGGCATGTCCCTCCACAGGGTGAATATTCAAAAATAGTACGAAAATAATCCGGGGACGATTTTTCTATATTCCCCAATCAGTTTTGCACTGAAGGGGTCCTATAGCGGAAGTTGAAAGTTGAAAGATTCGGCGAAAGCTTCCAGCCGATTTTGCCTGTTGCTGGTTCCCGGGTTCCCGGTTATTGGTTCCGGGCTGATTTCGGTGGGTTCTGGGTTCCCGGGCTCCCAGGTACCCGACCTCCGGAAAATCGTGTGGATGACCGTGCCGGGCGCACGGCCAGGAGCTGGCGGCCAGCGTGTCGCGACACCGGTTTTGGCCCACTACGTTTCGGCGCGACACGCTGACCCACTCCCAGTCCCCAAGATCGGGCCGGGCGAAAGGGGGGGATTGGGAAAGGGGGGGTTACGAAATTTGCTGCATGCAGCTGGTTTCGGCCCCACCGAGGGGCCCATTCCTCGATACATAGCCGCCTCCGGCGCCGGGAGGCGCCGGGAAAATCAGCTACGTGAGCTGATTCTCAAACCCCCCCTTTGCTATCCCCCCCTTTCGCCCGACCCGACAAGAGTCCACGTCTGGGGCTCCTCCCCGCCTCCCGCCCCGCCCCCAAGAGTCAACGTCCGGAGCTCTTCCCCGCCTCCCGCCCCGTGGGGCCGCCGCCTCCTCCAGAGGAGGGCGACGAGGGCGAGCCAGTCGACGCGGCAGGCGCGGCGTGCGAGTCGGACGCCGAGGACAGGGGCCCCTGAAGCAGCGCGCGGTGGGGTGCCTGCCGCCTCGAGCTGGGCGTAGGAGCACAGGTCGCCCACCCACGCATGAAGTCGTTGAGACGTTCCTGGTGTTGCGCTCGTGCCATACTCACACTTGCCTCTCTACCTTTGTCTCTCTCTCTCTCTCTCTCTCTTGCTCCTCTCTCCGCACATGTGTATACACAGATTCCACGCTTTCTGCGCTCCATATTTTGCCATCGGGGGGCACCGAAAATGGGACATTACAACCAACAAGGACAGGTTACAAGTATTTCGGTACCAATCCCAATCAGTTGGTACCAATTTCAACCGGTTTGGAAATTGTTTCGAGGGTCCTGAGAGGTTCATGAAAAGTTACTGCAAGGTTCTTTGAAGGTTCCCTTGAGATCCCTGAGGATTCTTGGGGGACTCCTCCATTTCCCTGAGGAAACTCAGGCTTTCCTCGCGATTCCTGAGGCTTCCCCCGGAATTTCCCACGAATCCCTCGCGATTCGTGAAAAATTCTTTGTGGAATTCTGGAGAAATCTCGACAAAGTCCTCATTGCTAGCTGATGGGGTTCCTGATTGATTACTTAAGATTTCTATGGATTCTTGGTTGGATCCAGAGGATTCCTGCGGATTCTTGACGTGCCCCTGATGAATGCCTGATCGATTCTTGACGAGGAGGAAGAGGAAGAGGAGGGTGGACTTGAGGTGGAGGGGGGAGGAGGGAGAAAATTACCCTGTGATTTACCCAACCCTTTCAATACATGTGGCGATTATAGTGAGGACCACTCAATGCTGACTGGCACTCTGGAGGACCCGCAGTGCGCAAGAAGAGCACCCAGCAGTGATTTCAGCAGGGCGCAGCAAGAAGAGGAACGGCAACTATACAAAATGGAAACACAGGGGCGTTGAAAGAAACGCGTATGACGCACCTCCGAGTGATCTACGTGGGACGTACCTCCGTTGGGCCTCCCAGGAGCCCACGAAAGTGGCGACGGTTGCGCAGATCGCAAGCCCCCCCGGGGGCGGCGAGGTCCCGAGGGGATCCGCCCACGAAAGTGGCGACAGTTGCACAGTTGCAAGCCCCCCAGGGGGCGGCGAGGTCCCGAGGTGATCCGCGTGGGACGTACCTCCGCTGGGCCTCCCAGGAGCCCACGAAAGTGGCGACAGTTGCGCAGATCGCAAGCTCCCAGGGGGCGGCGAGGTCCCGAGGGGATCCGCGTGGGACGTACCTCCGCTGGGCCTCCCAGGAGCCCACGAACGTGGCGACAGTTGCACAGTTGCAAGCCCCCCAGGGGGCGGCGAGGTCCCGAGGGGATCCGCGTGGGACGTACCTCCGCTGGGCCTCCCAGGAGCCCACGAACGTGGCGACAGTTGCGCAGATCGCAAGCCCCCCAGGGGGCGGCGAGGTCCCGAGGTGATCCGCGTGGGACGTACCTCCGCTGGGCCTCCCAGGAGCCCACGAAAGTGGCGACAGTTGCGCAGATCGCAGACGGCACGAGAGAAGAGGCGAAGGGAACACAGGAAGCAAGAGAGAAGGAGGAGAGGAGGAGAGAAGGAGGAGAGGAGGAGAGGAGGAGGTGGAGACCACACTGCTGTATTCGAAACGAGTGCCCAACACAGGAGGGTTGGGAAATCAATAGGTGGATGAGGATGAGGAGGGGATGATGATGATGATGATGATGATGATGATGATGATGATGATGATGATGATGATGATGATAATGATGATGATGATGATGATGATGATGATGATGATGATGATGATGATGATGATGATGATGATGCTGATGATGATGATGATGATGATGAACATGATGATGATGATGATGCTGATGCTGATGCTGATGCTGATGCTGATGCTGATGCTGATGCTGATGCTGATGATGCTGATGCTGATGCTGATGCTGATGCTGATGATGCTGATGATGCTGATGATAATGTTGTTGATGATGATGATGATCATCATGATGATGATGATGATGATGATGATGATGATGATGATGATGATGATGATGATGATGATGATGATGATGATGACGATGATGAAGAGGAGGAGGGAGAAGAAACAGAGGAACAGGAGGAGGAGAAGGAGGAGGAGGAGGAGGAGGAACAGGAAGAGGAGGAGGAATAGGATTGGTTGGATTGCTTCGAGGGTGTCGCGGCTGAGGCACCATGGCCTCGCACGGCCTGGGATGGGTGACTTTGCGGTACGCAGCCCGTTGTTTGGGGCCCACCGCGGCGCCTCCACTCTCACGCGCCCACAACTCGCCGCGGGCACGACCCAGCCCCAGCGGAGGGCCGTGGGTGGGTCGCGCGGGCCGGTGGACACTGTGCGAGCGGGGCGGGTAGGGTTCTCCGCGGCCGAATTCCGCAGACGTGCCTTTGCTGGATAGAGTCGGCGGCTAGGACGGCCTGTGTGCGCCCAGTCGCCAGCAGTACCATGGGATGAACCGTTCGGTGCCCGCTCCCTTTCTTGCGGGCGCGGGATCCTCCGAGCCCCCGAGGGCAGCGCGCCCAATGGAAGCGTTCCGGGTCCGGGGAGGCGGAGGGCACCCGTGCCCACGGGGAGGCAGAGGGGACCAAGCGAGTCACCTTGCGACTCGCTGCCGCCGCCGAATCGTTCGGCCCCCGCGCCCTTTCCTGCGGGCGCGGGGTTTTCCAAGCTCCCCGAGGGCGACGCTTCCAATGGAAGCGTCGAGCAGCACGGGCCCTCGAGGGTCCGGGGGCTCCTGGCCCCCGATACCCCGAATCCATTGGGAGGGGGGGGGCGGCCCGAACGAGTCACCGTGCCCCCCGCCGCCGCCGCCGCCGAGTCGCTCGGTCCCCGCGCCCCTTCCCACGGGCGCGGGATATTCTCCGAGCCCGCGAGGGCGACGCTTTCAATGCCGCTTGAGGGGGCTTCGAACCCACAGGGACGGGGAAGGAGAGGGGGGGGGCCGAACGGGTCACATTGCCCCCTGCTGCCGCCGCCGGGTCGCTCGGCCCCCGCTTCCTTTCACGCGGGCGCGGGGTTCTCCGAGCACGCCGAGGGCGACGCTACCGATGGGGGGAGGGCGGCGGGCCGAACGACTTGCTTTGCCCTCCTCCGCCGCCGCCGATTCGTTCGGTCCCCGCCCCCTTTCCTGCGGGCGCGGGGTTCTCCGAACCCTCGAGGGCGACGCGACGCTCCCAATGGATGCGCTTCGCGCTCTTGGGGTCTCGGGGGGGCCCCGAGCCCACGGGGAGGGAAAGGTGGGCTGAACGAGCCACCTTGCCCTCCGCCGCCGCCGGGTCGGTCGGCCCTGGCGCCCCTTGCTGCGGCGCAGGCGTTTCCAAACCCAGAGGGCGACGCTTTTAGTGGAAACGCTTCGTGCCCTCGGAAGCTCGGGGGGCCCCCGAACCCATGGGGTGGAGAGGGGGCCGAACGGGTCACCTTGCCTTCCGCTGCCGCCGGCGAATGTTTCGGCCTCCGTTCCTGCGGGCGCGGGATTCCGCGAGCCCCCGAGGACAACGCTTCCGACGCAAGCGCGTCGCGCCCTCGGGAGCCTGGGGGTGGCCCGATCCCTCGGGGAGGGGCAGGGGTGGCGAACGGGGCACTTTGCCCCCCAGCGGCCGGCGCCGAGTCGCTCGGCCTCCGCTCCCTTTCATGCGGGCGCAGGGTTTTCCGACCCCGCGAGGGCGACGCTTCCGAAGGAACCGTTTTGTGCCCTCGGGGTCTCCCAGGGGGGGGGGGGGGGGGGCGAATTCACGGGGGGAAGGCGGGCCGAACGAGGCACCGTGGCCTCCGCCGCCGCCGAATCGTAGGGCCCCCGCGCCACTTCCAGCGGCGCAGGTTTCCCCGAGCCCCCGAGGGCTTTTCTGGAAACGTTTCGAGCCCGCAGAAGCTCGGGCGGGCCCGAGCCTACGGGGAGGGAGGGGGCCGAACGGGTCACTTTGCATTCCGCTGCCGCCGCCGAGTCGTTCGGTCCCCGCTTCCTCTCTTGCGGGCGCTGGATTTTTCAAACTCCCGAGGGCGACGCTTCCAATGGAAGCGTTTCGTACCCTCGGGGGTCCGGGGAGCCCCCCAACCCATGGGGAGGGAAGGCATGCATGAACGATTCTTGCCCCGGTGCCGGTGCCGGTGCCGGTGCCGGTGCCGGTGCCGGTGCCGGTGCCAGTGCCGGTGCCGGTGCCGGTGCCGGTGCCGGTGCCGGTGCCGGTGCCGGTGCCGGTGCCGGTGCCGGTGCCGGTGCCGGTGCCGGTGCCGGTGCCGGTGCTGCCGGTGCCGGTGCCGGTGCTGGTGCCGGTGCCGGTGCCGGTGCCGGTGCCGGTGCCGGTGCCGGTGCCGGTGCCCGGTGCCGGTGCCGGTGCTGCCGGTGCCGGTGCTGGTGCCGATGCCGGTGCCAGTGCCGGTGCCGGTGCTGGTGGCCGGTGCCAGTGGCCGGTAGCCAGTGCTGGTGCCAGTGCCGGGGCCGGTGCCGGTGCCGGTGCTGGTGCCGGTGGCCGGTGCTGGTGCGGGTTCTTGTTTTCCCAGAACATCCTCTCCTTCTCCCTCCCGCCTCCCGCCTCCCAGCAGTGCCCCTCCCGCCCCTCCAGGGAGGCCCCGCCTGAGCGAGGAGGGTATCGGAAACCCATACTATTTACATGGTTTCGTGCCCTTCCCACCTCTCCAGGGAGGCCCCGCCTGAGCGAGGAGGGTATCCCACCCCTCCAGCAGGGAGGCCCCGCCTGACTGAGCGAGGAGGGTATCGGAAACCCATACTATTTACATGGTTTCCTGCCCCTCACACCCCTCCAGGGAGGCCCAGTCTGAGCGAGGAGGGTATCGGAAACCCATACTATTTACATGGTTTCGTGTCCCTCCTTCCCCTCCAGGGAGGCCCCGCCTGAGCGAGGAGGGAATCGGGAACCCGTACTATTTACATGGTTTCGTGCCCTTCCCACTTCTCCATGGAGGCCCTGCCTGAGCGAGGAGGGTATCGGAAATTAATAAAGATTACATGGTTTCGTGCTCCTCCCACCCTTCCAGGCAGGCCCCG